CTCTACTCATAATCGAACCATTCGCCGAAGATTCCGGCCGCTATGAGTGCGTCGCCGTCAATGTAGCTGGCGAAGCACGTTGCGATGCCGACTGCATTGTACAATCGCCCACTAAGCCTGAGAAACCCACCACACCGGGCAGCGAAAAGCCACCACACATTGTAGAGAAATTGAAGAGTCAATCAGTGGAAGAAGGTAGCAAAGTGATCTTCCGTTGCCGCATTGAAGGCAAGCCCACACCGACGGCACGCTGGTTGCGTGGTGAAAATATCGTGAAACCATCGCGTTACTTCCAAATGACACGTCAAGGTGAATATTATCAACTGGTGATTTCCGAAGCATTCCCTGAGGATGAGGGCACATACAAGTGCGTCGCTGAGAATAAGCTGGGTAGCATTCAGACCAGCGCTCAATTGAAGGTGCGTCCAATTGAGAATCTCGATGCACCACCAACCATCACCGCACTGAAGGATGCCTCCGTTACGGAGGGTATGCCAGCACAATTTAAAACTACCGTTACCGGAAAAGTGAAGGCCACCAGTGTTCAATGGTTCCGAGAGGGTGCTCTCATACCGGAAACCCCCGACTTCCAAGTGAGTATCGTTATTTTCTTGTTCTTAATTTATCTTTATACATAATTATAATTTTCACTTAAAAATATTTGTTTGTTAAGTTTAAAAGCGTAATTTCAGTGAATCGCATTTAGAAATCCCTTGGTTTACTCGTTTAGTAGCATTCATTTATATGTAGTAATTACAACCCAATCAGTTTCAGTTAAAATATAAAATAACCCAGATCCTGGTTCGCTTTCAGTAGCTTAAGACAGTGGCGCCTATTTAAGTATTTTTGTAACATATGCTGTGGAACCTTTGTACTTCAGGTTGACATTATTGGTGTATTTATTCTGAATCCAAAGTATACAAAAGCCTTTCCTATTTCAAAGGTATAACTGCCAAAAGTGGCGTGCGTCACAAAATCCGGTGGTATTTTATCGCTTTTTGTTTACTGCTGCGCCAAACTTCTTTTCAAGCTGGAAAGTTCTGCACTCACAAAGTCAATTAGAAATGGGCGCGGGACTGAATATTCCATCCCGATCCCGCCTATCCTGAAATCACATTTTTAAGTCCTGTACCCGCCCATCCCGACGTTATTAAGAATTGTACCGAAGGTCCCGTGGGTCCTGCAACCCATCACTAAGAAAAATTTACTTTTGAATTTGAACTTTATATTAATTTTAAATAATAAAAAAAAATAATAATGCAGCATCTTCCGATTATTTTGTTTTCCTTTGCTGTACGTTTTCGTCTTAATAAAACATAAAAAGTGCTTATTTCATACAACGGTTAAGGAACACTTCTAAATCTGCGATGGTTCCGGCTTTTATCGGGAGTATCGAGAAAGGATTTTGGGCCCGTCGCGCCCGCAAAATTTTTAAAGACCTTCTCGATACCTCCCATCCCGGCCATTTTGAAATCATTACCGTGGGTTCCGCGTGTACCGATATCTCGCGCCCATCTCTAATGTCAATATCATGTGAGCGACTCCGTTTCACTCTCCTGTTTCCGCCTGCATTAGTATTGAGAGTGAACTATACTTGTAGAAAGCGATTTAAAGGTTAGACTAAAACAAAGACAAAACGTAAAGACTAAGAATGAGACGGACGCCAACACTAAGATGAATTCTGAAACAAACACAGAGACGGTTACGAAGACGAATAGTGAATACGAAGGCGAATACGCGGTACGAAGAAAAATACGAACATAAATATGAGACGATTACGAAGACAAAACCTAAGACGAAGACAAATATGAAGATCAAAGCGAATACAAATGATGACGACTAATTCGAAAATATATGTGAAACCGACAACGAATACGAAGACAAATATGAATATAAAGACCATGAATACGAATACAAACATAAACGAGTACTATGGTGAAAGCGAAGGCGAAAACTAATACGATTACGAAGACAAATACTAAAACGAAGACGAAGACGAAGACAATTACGAATATGGGTATTAATATGAAAACCAATACGAAAACTAAAGCTAAGGCTAATATTATGAAATAAACTAGAAATGAAACACAGGAAGTTTCACTTCTATAATGTCCCAGGTGCATTTCTTTTTTATACACGCTGTCGCACAATGGGACTACAGCGGCCAAAAATAGTAAAAACGCACTACTTTATTCTTAAAAAGCAATTATGCAGAATCATTGCAGTATATCCAATTAACCCGTCTAGCACCCGACAAGGAAAACTTTCGAGCTGCTAGACACAAAAGCAACGCTCGCTCTAAGCAGCCGCTGTCCAGTGATTCTGGACAGATTCCGTCTAATGAACTGTCTAGAACTGTCTAGAATTCACATAAAGTCCCTAATATAAAATGTAAGACAGGACCTCATCTGTAATTCTAGAGATCTCCAGGAAATACCTTTTCGAAAAGTGACATATAGCCTTTCTAAGAATTCTCGGCAGCAACTTTCTAGAAAGTTTAGCTTCGGATAAATTACAAAGTGTCCTGATGGTTTATTATTGTATGGCTGTCATTTGCCTGAGCTTCCCATGGCGGCATCAATAAACCCTTGTCAGAAAAAACTTGCTAGTAACAGGATTCGTCTCTCCAGGCACTGCTCTGTTAAGGAAATCTTCCAAACACCAAAAGTGATTATCTCAACAAAAAATTATTATTTTGCCGTCAGTCCAGGCTTTCAAAAAGATAAATTTCGTTCGTTCCCTTTAAAGGCTGTTGCATAACAGATACTGTGCTGGCGCTGCCAACGAAACGTACTAGAGAAAATCTACGTATCACCTGAACTGATTACCCATGCCAAGATATTGCATAGTAGTGCCAGTCCAGGTATTACGAAAGATAACACCGTGCGACAGTAAATTTTACACACGAAAAAATCGATATATTCACAAAACTGGGGGCCAAGTATAGTAAAACTGCGTTTTTAGTTTTTCTCTCTGACGTCAGGATTTTTTTTAAAGGACTTTGAAATTTCTAAAATATGATTGAATAAAAAATTTATTCAAAAGATTTGGTGCATTGTAGAATAACAATATGGGTATCAGTTAAAAGGAAAAATTCTGTAGAATAGAAAAAATAATAATTTTTGGGTGCACCAGGACGAATAAGTATTGAAATTATCTTTTTTAAACTTTATCCTTGAATTTCCTTGGAAATTTCCTATGTTTATTTTTGGAAAAAATATATGTCAAGGACTAATATGTTGACTACCACATCCTCGAATTTCGTCCTTCTAACCTTATTAGTTTTAGATAAAAAAAATACACTTCTCTTTATAAGAATTGATAGTTGCAATATATATACATAAATGAAGATACTGGAACCATTATTATGGAATCATGTATGCGCTCTAAAAGAACAAACTGACCGTATGATGTATCTACGGTTTAAATTCTTACAAGGGCGTAGTCAGGCTTTCACCTAGGGGCAGGAGTTTACATAGACGGAAAAAAGTGTTTAATACATTTTTTTTTTTTTGTATATAAAAAGAAATTTTTGGGCTTAAGAAAGTATAAGTTTTCTGGTAGCCTTTACAACGATACCAATTTTTTTTAATCGGTTTGTAAGTTTTTTGTTTAAAATATTTTTTTTTTATAAAAAACGGTATTTTTTGGTTTCAAGTGTTTTTTCTCAAATTTTTATGCACGAAGTGTACAAATATTCATACCGGAACAAAGGGGGTTTGATCGCCTTTACAACGATACCAAATTCCTAAAAAACGGTTTGCAATTTCTTTGTTAACTTTTTTCTTTTTTTATAAAGAAAGGTATTTTTTCCTTTTAAGTGTTTTTTCTCAAATTTTTATATACGAAGTAACAAATAAGCATATCAGAAGAAAGAAGGTCTGATTTCGTTTACAACGATATGCACTTTTTTAAAATCGGTTATTAATCTTTTTGTTTAAAATAGTTTTTTTTATAAAAAAAGATATTTTTCCTTTTAAATGTTTTTTCTAAAATTTTTGCATACGAAGTATACAAATATGCATATCAGAAGAAAGGTTTAATCACGTTTACAACGATACCAAATTTTTAAAAATCAGTCCAAATTGTTTAAATATAAGGTTTTTAATTTTTCGAAGACCCGACATTTGACCCCTTATATAAGTTTGCACAAAAAAGTTATATACCATTTTAATAAGAGTAAAAGGTTGCCTACGTGTATATTTTTAGTTTTTAGTTATTTACATATAATATAAAAAATATTTTTTTACCAAAGGTCCTATTTCGAACTTCGAAGGCCCATATCTCGATTTCAGAGGCTAACTTCGAAAAGCTTTTTTTTTTCTATGACTCAATCTCTTAAAAAAAGCTGGTTTGGTCCAATACACAGCCGAGTGCTGTACAGTGTTATGATTCCAGTATCTTCATTCATGTATATTGTAACTATCAATATCTTAAATAAAGTTAGAAGGACGAAATTCGAAAATGTGGTGGTTTACATATTAGTCCTTGACATATATTATTTTTTGTTCAAAAACAAATATTGGAAATTTCCAAGGGTATTCAAGGATAAAGTTTTAAAAGGACATTTTCAGCACTTATTCGTCCTGATCTACCAAAAAAATTAAATTCTTTTTCAATTCTACAGAATTTTTCCCTTTAATTGATACCCATATTGTTACTCTACAATGCACCAAATCTTTAAAATAATTTTTTTATTCAATCATATCCCAGAAATTTTAAAGTCCTTTACAAAAAAATCCCGATGTCAGAGAGAAAAACTAAAAACGCAGTTTTACTATATTTGGCCCCCAGTTTTGTAAATATATCGGCTTTTTCGTGTGTAAAATTGACTGTCGCACGGTGTTATCTTTTGTAGTACCTACTATGCACTACTATGCAACATCTTGGCAGTTCCAGTTGGGAAGATTTCCTTAACAGAGCAGTGCCTGGAGAGACCAATCCAAAACGCAATTATACTATATTTGGCTCCTTGTTTTGTGAATATACATATTGATTTTTTCGTGTGTTTTAAACATTTTTGGTTTTTGTCGCACGGTGTAATCGTTGCTGAGAGAATCTGTTCAGCGCCCGAAGTATCTGATTAATTTTTGTATGCTAATTGTATGCAGATTCTAATTGGTCGAAATATTGTCATTGTTGAGGAAATCTCAGTTACGGAAAGCTAGGCAGGCTCCAAACGGAATGAGGCGTTTTTCAATAGAATTTCCGGCCGGGATATTTAAAAAGCTCCGTGCAAGGGCGTTGAAATATGCTCAGTGCAAGTAAATATCAAGTATGCGAGTCATATTTGAAATGTTTACGACTGCCAACATAATTTAGTAAGCAGGTATTTGTAAATGCTTCTGAAATAAAAGAAATGTGATTGATAATTTTCCACAAAAATCATAAAATTGGGCATCGTATTGCGAAACTCTTAACTATCTTCCAAATTAGAGAAGTTTTGAGTAAACAAGCATGACAAACCGGATTTTATCAATATAGAATTTTTTTAGATTTGCACCCATTTTTTTAAGATTTGGTTAATGTAAATATTATCCGATTATGGCGTTCTTGCAGAATTATGCTTTTCCGGTCAATATCAGCATAAACTCTGAATTTTATCAAAATCGGATAATATTTCCCATTTCCACCCTCAAGAGCTGTGGGCGTGGCGGTGCGCCGACCTTCACCATTTTTCACATTTCTTCAATCCAAAGAGCAAAAGCGATCCTATGCGAAATTTTAGCGAATTTGTAGTACAGCTACTCCTTTTGGCTGTACCTTATATGAAGTCGCTGCAATGCACTAAGTAACCACGTATTTATTATGGTATCAAATAGATCGAAGTCGACGCACGAAAGTCATCTTATCAAAAACCTAATTTTATTTCGTCGGTGCACAGTGTGGAAAATAAAATTTTATTGAGACAACGTCTAATATCGTGAGAGCGAAAAGAAATAGCGAAATAAATGAAACGGTATTTTACAGCTTTTGAGATAGAAAATTCAGGAAAAATAGTCTCGTTGAATAAAAATTTTACCTCGACCTTTAAAATTACCTCCAATAATATAGCGCGTTTCTTTTTGACCTGAAAACAGTATGCAATGAACTTTGAAAAAGTTTGAAACATATAGCTTTGCAGTAAAAAGCCGAAAAATATACTTACATACACTTATTTCTTTAAATTTCAATGCATACTGTTTTGAGGTCAAAAAAGGTAAAAAACAATAGGCCCCTCTATTTTTGAAGGTCATTATAAAGGTCATAGCAATTTCCTTAGCCAACGAGACTATTTTTTCCTCAATTCTCCATCTCAAAATCTCTAAAGGCCTTCTGGAAGCCATTATTTCACATCTTTTGAAGAGATAGGCCATCCGTGCTCGATTCTTTGCTCCTTTTTATATGAAATGACCAGAGTTTTCAAGACTTCTGATTCAGCTTCCCTTAGAAGAGGAGAATTTACATGAAACAATAATGAAACAGTTTTAATTTAACTATCCAGCAGATACACATTGATACGTCTACTGCTATTTTTTTTCTTTTATTGGACTCTGTTTGCCTTTGAAACGCACCTTCTCTCTCGCTTTCAAATGGCAAGGCAGGGCTATTGGAAGATATTTATTTGGCTTTCGTTGCCATGAAAACGCACCTTCTCGTCTTCCTTCGAATGGCAGCGCTACTGGAAGATCTTCTGCTACAGCTTCCAAAGAAAAAGTTTTATTGAAAAACCATTTCTCAAAACGTTTATTTAGAAATGCTCTTCATCACACTCTATAATACCGTGGAATTCCAATTTCGAGCATGATTCTGCAGGGATGGCAGTCACCAATCAACTGTCGGACACTTTCTCTGTTCTTAGAAGGATGAGGCTAAGCACATTTTCAATCGGAATGATTCGGAGTATTTCAAACAGAGACTGTCTGTTTGATGTAGGTCGCCACTACACCAGTTCCATTTTACTAGCCCAGAGAGCTTTTTAACCGACTTCAAAAAAAAGGAGAAGATATCAGTTCGTCGGAATATATATGTATATATTTTGTTATGTATGTTACCGTATAACTTTGGACTACGTCAATCGATTTCGACAATTCTTTTTTTTTCTAGGTAATGTCTCGCAGGTGGTACTAATTTGGTTTAGATCCGATCATTGGATCATGAAAAAATTGACGGTACTCCTAAATATTGTATATGAGAATTGAAGTCCGTTGTGTTTTTTGCTTAAAAATTATTTGTTTTACCTTCCATTTATGAGCATTTTGTCAAGCCATTTTCAATTTTTTAAGCAACTGCTTGAGACCATCAAGCCTAATTCTACCATGTCTGATAGACAGCTGACTGATGTTGTAAAGTGATAGATTAATTTTCTTAAATAAGTTTTTCTTGCGAGGCCCTTTGGCTGATATAGTAGTTTCGCCTAACGGAACTCCATGGCAGACCATGGGACAATGCTGGTGAAACGAAACTTTTTGGGTTATATGCGTAAACTCCTGCTCAGACGCGGGGGTCAGTTATGGAGCCGTCAGTATACCAAATATCCGTGGCTTACGTCGTTTGTTAGCCAGTTGATTCTTTTAGAGAAAAAGACCTTAAAATTCTGTATGAAGTTATATCTTCGAAGACACATGTCCTAAAAGCTAATGTGCAGTCTGTTCTCTTATTCCATTTATGTGATAGGCTAAACTTCAGGGCTTTATCTAACTCAGTTTTATTCAAAAATACAAAGCTTAGATAATATTAAGTCTAGGGGAAAACACAGTAGCATCATGGCTTATTTTGGACGTGAAATTCTCTGAAACATGGCCCAATACTTGATCTTTATGTTCAAATTTATTATGTTCCAACAAGCCTAAATATATGTACTTACCGTCCTCTGAGTATTTATTTCACTATGCAGCTAATATTTTCTCTCTTAAAGTCGGTAAAGACTTTCACACGTGCACTGTTAACAAACATAACATCATGCTTTACAAGTAGCTCTCATCCCGAGACCACTTGTCAAAAACGTGTGCCAGACCTTCCTATAGACCATACTGTGACCAACATACCCCTATCGCAGACGGCGGTGAATGGAGGTATAATTTAATTAAGTTAGACCGGCGTCACACATTTGTGTCGGTGGTTCCACGTGAAAACCCAGCTGACACATGTATGTGACGCCTAGTAGTGAACGTGTTAAGGTTATATTTTTTTCTTTTTGCTATATATGTAGATCCCTGCCTCTACCCCTGTTTGTTCTAACTGCATTTATGTTATTCTGTTTTCCTTTATCTTTATTTTTATCTGTATACTGTATCGATAAAAAAATCGATAGTAACATCCAACAAGATATCGATAACAAAATCGATGAAAAATTCGATAGCACAATCGATAATAATATTGGTAGCAAAACCTATTATAAAAACGGCAAAAATATCGTTAAAAAAAGTCGATAAAATCTTGATAACAAAATCGATAAAAACGCCGATAACAAAATCGACAAATAATAGATAAACAAAAATGTATAACAAAAATCGATACAAATAACGATAAAAATATCTATAACACAATTGATAAAAAAATCGATATCAAAATTGACATCAAAAGTGATAAATAATCGATAACAAAATCGATAAATCGATTCATAATCGATAACAAAATCTATGAGAAAATCGATAACAAAATCGATAAAACTGCGATACAAATTTCGATAGCAAAATCGATATTAATATTGTTAGCAAAATCGATTAGAAAATCGATAAAAACATCAGTAACAAAATCGATAAAAATATCGATAACAAAATCGATAAATAATCGATGGCAAAAATTTATAACAAAATCGATAGAAATATCGATAAAAATAACGATAACAAAATCGATAACAATATCCATAACAAAATCAATAACAAAATCCATAAAAATATCGATAAGAAAATCGACAAATAATCGATAACAAAACTGATAAAAATATCGATTATTATATCGATAAGACCCGAGAATCCCGAAAATCTCTAAAATCCTAAAATAGCTCCCAGATTGAGTCTCTGTGTCTCTACCTTCTTTCGATAGGGTCACTGACTTGCATTTTTGCAAAAAAGAGGCCAACAACATCGGCCAAAGTTTACTCGGAAGCTGTTGTAAGGCCATTTAAGCATTATCTGCTCCAAAACCAGTCGTGGAGTTTCCAGCAGGATTCTGCGCCGGGCCTTTACGCTAAAATTACCCAAACCTGGCTCGAAAACAATTTTCCAGCATTCATTTCCTCTGAAGAATGACCCTCTGGCAGTTCTGATTTTAACCCGCTACTAAGTAGATTATCCAGCTTTCTTGCTTAGAGGCCGTATAAGCCCAGAATTGCAATTTTATATTTTCTTAGACGAAAATAGAAATCTTAAACAGCGACTCTAAAATTCAGTTCTTATTTCTTCGAAGAGTTGGTATTATTATATTTAATGTCAACTGGGCTTTAGAAACTTGGTAGAAAATGAATGCAGCTAATAAAACTTTTCTAAAATTTCGTTTTCTGCTTTAATTTCAGATGATCTTCGATGGAAATAGTGCCGTACTACTTATTGGAACAACTTATGAGGAGGATTCGGGCATTTTCACGGTTCGTGTTACCTCATCAACTGGACAGGTCGAGTCGTCAGCTAAGTTGACTGTTAAAAGTAAGGATTGAATTAATAAGAAATAAGCAAATCAAATATTAGTGAACGAAAATGCGAAACGTTGACGGACGTAATCTAACAAAACCGAAACAAACTCATAGCTCTAGCTTGGCTATCAAATATGAAATACATACTCAAATTACAAATTAAGAACGAGACCCGAACTAAAATCAGTGTTCACATTAAGTAGTATGAGAAATATTTGAACGAAACAGCAGAAATGAGATAAATTTAACTAATTATCTTACTAGAACTAGTCGTAAAAGTTTGAAACAATATTAATGCAATTTTACTGAAACTTAAAAATAAAAATAAATATTTTATTATTATTGAAATAGTAAATCCCAAAAAAACGAAACAAAAACAAAAACGTACATAAAAATGATATAAAAACGAAATATTTTTACTACATATCTACTAATTAACATAATAAAAAGTGAGCAATTCATAAAAAAAATACAAAAATAAAAATACGAAATTTAAGATTTTTAAAGTTAAATAAGTTGGCATTTCTTACACAGCTAGAAAAAAGCGCATAGCTAAAAAAAAAGTGGAATCTAAGCATTACAATCAAATCCGTAAACATACGGCGAGTGAGCAAATCTCAATTGTGGATTTTGAGTGTTTTTAGATGTTGCTCAATTGTATTTTTTTTTTTTTTGTTTAAATAATGCAGCAACTTAAGTAGAAAGCGTGTAAGCGTGCAACCACACACACACACACACACGAGCGTACGCATGCATTGCTATTGTGGGTAGGCTGTTGGTGCGCAGGGCGTATGAGCAACATCGTACCATTTAGTCAAAAGCGCTCATATGTATGTACATTACCATACCATATACACAAGCACACAAGCTTAAAAAATTACACACAACGCCAAAAGCACTTGAAAGTAAAAATCTAATTCTGGTGCACATCCAATTTTCGGGCGGAAAAAAAACACACACACAAAATATGGAGAAATTTTGAATCGCTTATAATAAAGTTGGTCAGCCAACTATGTAGATTTGTGTGTATACACATACATATGTACACTTAACTTGGGAGCCGTGCGCAAAACGCATATTCAGTCTAAAAGCATACATTTTAATATGAAACGACTGACTACACACAATTTTTTCTGTCATCTAGAATACTTAAAAACACACAAACCTACTTTCGGCGCGCAGACACACAAGCAAACACATTCGCATTCACATAATTTTTTTCGCTTTATTGTTATTAACATGAATTATTAGCAGGATATAACATTCAAAAGGGGAGCGTGTGTGTGTTAGTATAAATATGTATAAATAAATATGTATATACATACACATACACTTCTCAGTGGCACATTTTTGTACAATGTTGTTGAATATCGAAAGATGCCGCCTAGCGACTAGCGCATGGGGAATATGTAGATAATTCTAATTTCTGCTCTTAATTGCATTTAAGCTTAGAGCATACAACTTGCACACATATTTGTACATATATACATACATATGTATGTACAGCGCAGTCAGTGGTAGTAGCCAGTCAAGTAGCCCACCTGCCCGCCTAGGGGAACCACACAGGTTCGTGCGCAAAATTTAGGTAGCTGCATATACGATTTTACATGCATACATACAGGCGGCATACATATGTATGTAGGTACAGTCATGCATAGAAATATGCGTTCATATTGTGGAACGAACATAAATTTTTAATGGGAACAAGTAAAGCAGCAGCAATCATACAAAATATGTATAATGAAATGTATGCATGTACATATGTATGTATGTATGTCGGGCTATTCTTAGTGCATATGGCCGTTGTAGTATATGCGGCATGGTTCCCTTGTCGCTTGTGGGGTGAAGAGTATTACTTAAGCTTCTAATTTTTCACGCGATAATAGGAATAATAAATAATTTAAAAATTCTAAATTATTTTGCTCGTAAATTTTTATTTAAATTTATTTTATTTTTTATTTTTTTTAAATTCTACTTTTTCAAATTGTTATTCATGGCATCATCTTCGACAATGGTTTTGCGCTTATGGAGATTAGCCATTGGCTATTTTGAAATGCTGTTGATTAGCGTCGTGTATTTTTAGCATTTGTGCTGCGCCGCGCTTCTCCCTACACCCTCCGCTGGCACACCTGGCCAGCAAATCCATTGAAACACTGCCAAAAAAAAATAATTTAAAAAACAATATACAATGCTTGCCTTTTGCCTTATGAGTTTGAAGTAAAAAATAGAAACCATTATTTATTGTTTTGCTGTCCACTGACAGTACTTTATTTGTTTTCCATCAATTTCAATTTGTTTTTGAATGTTTTATAAATAGCTGATATGTGAGGCAAGTAAAAAGTTTATTTAAATAAAAAGTGATCAAATGGTAGATAGAAGTAGGCATAAAATCGCTGGCGTGTCAAAACTGCAGATGCATACTTACTTTGCGGCTGTGGGGCACGCCTTTAACGCAATTTGGCAACACTTTCGCCTCAAAGCAGTGTAGGCACTGCAATTACTTGCCGCAGTTAGCAAGTGACTTTTTCCATGCCGTCCACTTTTTCTTACTGAATGCGGTTCCCCTACATACTTACATATGTATATAGCATTTTGGCGCTGCATCTGGCTTTGTGTTGCAATAGATGCATAGTTGTTTACTCATTTGCCTATTGGCACTCAAACTAATGAATCATTAGTTGTATGATTAGCCAACAGTAGTCACATTGCACAAATCATCGGTTGGCATTAGTCGCTTACATACATACATACATACATAAATACATATATCTATACATATTATAGAGCATACAAGGCACAAACTGTGAAAAGTTCTGATTAATTATTTGATGGTACATTTGTCAACAACAGCGCCAACATCATCGTGCCGTCACTGCCAGCAACACCGCCAGCACCACCGGTAGACAGTTGATTCATATATGTTGTGTGACTTTGATTTATTTTTAAGTTTTTGACTAGCGAGCTGCTCTAAGGATCATCATCATGTGTTGATTATGCGCTCCACTGGCTTTTAATATTCGGGCCATTATTGTTGGTATGCTGTGGGGGAAAAAAAATAAAATAAATGTATGAGTACTCGTATTTATTTAGTAGTAAATAGCAATTAAAATGAATACACAACAAAAAAAAAACGAGAAATTGTAAAAAGATAAATTTTATTTTAAAATATTGTTTCAAACTTTGACTATAAATGCAAATATGTGCAAAAAATATGGCAAACTATATTTGATATGCTGCTGTTTACTCTCTAAGCCGCCAACACCTTGCCGCTGCATCATAGCATACATATGTATGTCTCTATGTAATAGCTATGATTTACTTTGGAATTATTACTGTGGACTTTTGAAAAAGCAGCTTAAGTTGTTTTGTGATTGCAAGTCATTTTCTTAAATCATTTTTTAGCGATATTTTCACAAAAGTTCTCTAAAGGCAATTAATTTTTTACCAAGTGTATAAAATTTTCCCAAATTTAAATATGAAAAAAAAAATTTTAAATAACTCAAGCTGCATTCTCAAAAGTCCACGCATTTGTGTACACCTAAACTTTTGTTTTTAAGATTTTTATAATTTTTTACTATTTTCTCATTGTATAACCGTAGTAATGTTGCATGAGTTTTTATAGTTACTTTTTTTTATCTACCCGCTTCATACTAATAATTCGTTTAATCGTTTGTTGATCTCTACTCTATTGTTGTTTTATTTACATTACACATTGCGTTTCTTTGTATATGTTTCTTTATACACAGTGTTTACACATGATTTTCGCATTTTTTGCTATTTCGCAACGCGTGCCGAGCGAAAAAATATATAATTTCCAAACATTTATTTAAAAATGTCCAATACTTTAGCTGCTGCTATTAAACAAAAAAAAAAAAAACAAAAAAAAAAACTTTTACCGTTGCAAGCTTTATTGCTGTTGCTGTGTTTTAGGCATTTGAAGCGCTTTGCTTAAAAAATTAATCATAAAATACTCATGCGACTAGGCTTTAAGCGCGTATCCCTTAATGTCATTGCAATTTTAACTAAACTTTATATTGTATGATTTTTTAAAAACACGTTTTTCACATTTTTGGATGTTAATTTGTTTGTTAAGTGTTTTATTTAAATAAATTAATCACTCAAATATATTTATATTTGTAGCACATTGTCTGTATTTCTCCTCTGTAAGCTTAACTGATATTATTTTAATTGTTGTTTATGTTTATATAAATATTTATATATATATAAATGTATGTATATTTACTTTTATGCGTTCATTTTAATTTTAACGAATATACGCAATAAATCACACAATCCAACATTGCTGAAAATGAATACACTTTTTTTTTTTATTTAAATCAACTAAATTTTATCATTTCGCAGCTTCTCTTATACATGAGCCTTTAGCTTTCTAAATTTGTGCCCGCATATCCTCTATGCTATGCGCCGCTGCTAAAACATTACCGGCTTTCAGCCTTTTACTTATTTACTACACCACCATATGTCACGCTACAGATCAGGTAAGTTTAGGCTAAAATATTTTCCCTACAATTTACTTTCCTTTTAAATGATTTTTACGCGT